ATGTTTACAAGACAGTGTATAGTGTGGATTTATACCATTTATACCCAGGGGCAGAAATAACTTTTAAATTGCTAGAGTACTCCGGTACAGTGGCACATGTAAAATCACAATTTTTCCACTATACCGTCCGTTTTCTTATTGATTTCTTAAATAAACAACATAATTAATATTGGAACGTCAACTGGACACCGGTACAGTGTGATATACAAATTTGCTTGCCCAACAGAAAAAGACACTGGACTCGGGCGTCGGGCAATGGGTTATTTCCACCCCTGTATACCATACATAAGCAGCACGAATGGCTTACAGAATTGCCTTTCAGATATCATCAAGTTTTAGTAATGTTTGATCTGTTTGTTAACTACCACTTTTCTCCGAAACAAATTTATCATGTGGTGTAATGTTTCAAAAAGCACCCATTTGTCAATTTTCTAAGCACCCAAGGTGTTTATCAAGAAGAATATGATATATAGAGAGTATGGTTTTGTTTGGTTTGGTTTGTTGTTGTTTAATGCCGGACTCAGCAATATTCCACCTATATGACAGTGGTCTCTAAATAATTGAGTCTGGACCAAACAATCCAGTGATGACAGACTGTAAATGATTGAGTCTGGACCAGACAATCCAGTAATGCAGACCGAAATGATTGAGTCTGGACCAGACAATCCAGTGATCAACATCACTAGTATAAATCTATATAGAAGTACAGAGTATGATTAGTAAACATAAGAGACTGAATAATATCTTAAGACTCTCGCTTCAAACTGAAGCTGTGACTTTGCCTAAAATGCAAATTCTATCTCAAATTCCAAACAAAGTGTCCTGGCTTACAATTTTGGGAAAAACACTTCAAATTTGTGATTTTGTTAATGGTTTTGTCCCCTAAAATCAGAGCATTAAGACGATTGAACATTAAACACTGATACATCTACCCTTGTCCTGACACCTTTACAAAACTATGTCATTAATTACAACTGATTAACACATATTGGGGCAGTTTTACTCAAATTACGAATTTATTATAAACATTTCATGCAGTCTTGGACCAAATATGGACCTCAAAGTATAGACTACTTAAACCACTGTATACATAAGTCAAGCTATTTTTCACAGATGTCTGGTGTGGATTTCTAAGGAATTTGATTTATTATTACTGACACACACATAACAGGCTATATAAAAAATAAAAATTAGACCCTTCAACATGGTCATTCTTACAAGGGTGAGTGAGTGAGTGAGCTTAGTTTTACGCCGCATTTAGCAATATTCCATCAATATTACAACAAGTGAGTGAGTGAGTTTGGTTTTACACCACTTTTAGCAATATACCAGCTATATCACAGTGGGGGACACCAGAAACGGGCTTCACACATTGAAGCCATGTGGGGAATTGAACCCAGGTCTTCAGCATGATGAGCGAACACTTAAACCACTAGGCTAGCCCACCACCCCAATATTTCAACGAGGACACCAGAAATGGACTTCACACATTGTACCCATGTGGGGAATCGAACCCAGGTCTTTGGCGTGACAAGTGAACACTAACCACTAGGCTACCGCTCCTCTTACAAGGGAATTATTTAGACCAAACAGGGCTCCAGATAAGGGCCGTATCGGCGTATGTACGGATCAAAAATATACACGATACGGTAGGAAATATTTTACAAAATGTAGCAGATACGCAACACAGCAATGGTGTACGGTCTTAGAATCATTTGCAGACGTATTTATCTGAAAATTATTGTTTTATTGTTTATTGACCTGTACTCCTGGTGTTTAAAGATTATCTGGAGCCCTGCCAAAGATAGGATATATAGCATGCAAGAGAAAAAATTCACTATTCAGATCACACAGAGATGAAAGGTAAAAACATTGTTGGTTTATGGATTTTTATGCAAATGAAGTCATGCTTGGAGTACCTGCGAAGCTGTGAATAATATTGGAGTTAAAATATTCAGTCATTGGGCATGAACTGTATGTCCAGGTCATGGACTATTGGATATAATTCTTCATAAGGGTAACAGACATTATTTACAGTTTTCAAAATGGCTGCACCACACGTTCAACTGTAAATGTTTATTTTTTCAAGACTTGTTATTTTCTAAAGATTCCTTTTTGACGTACACACAATAAAATGAGAAATGCAAAAGATGGTACCTCTTAACGAACCAGACAAATCAATACTGGACACAAATACATTCACAAGTCTTTCAATTAACAGATTTGGGAATGTCTTGTTTATTTTTCATTTCATATTGCAGTGATGTTTAAACTTCTACACTTTAATGTTATTAATTCAGATTATTACATGAGCAAGTGTGTCATACAACTTATACGTAAAAAGGGTGAAACTTTGTATAATTTTGCATGAGTTTCATATGTCATATGACATGCTTGCCAGGGGTTCAAATTTTTTTTTAAAAGCCACTTGCCACAGGGCAAGTGACTTTAAGAAAGTAACTTGTCCTGACTAATTTTCCACTTGCCCTGATTTTATGACATAATTATGATGATGTAATTATGAAAGAAGAAATCAACATGGTATTTGATGTTAATGTTTACTGGACTATTGATTGTAAAGTTATAAATAGCAAAGAAAGATTGCTCTACTTTATTATCATTGTGAAATGTAATAGCTACATTTTGAGCAGATATGAAATTAAATCCAAGTTTATTTGCGGTTTGAAACCATAAGTGGAAATTATCTAGTAGCCCACGGACAAGTAAGATACCACTATTTGATTGCCCGAAATGAAAACTGACTTGTCCCGGGCGTCGGGCGATGGGATTTTTGAACCCCTGCTTGCTTGAGTGTAATAACTTCTGTATTATCCATTTTATTCATGTACATTTGTGCAGTAAAACACGATATGCAAGTGTGACAGCCCTGTTCATTGATTTTACGTTCAATTGTTTAATGACGTCACAGACGACAAAATACAGAAACAATGGTTGCTAGGCAACAGTGATATGTGCACATATGCATATATGATATATGACATTGGTTATGTTTCACCATATGGGTAATTATATATAAATCATTGTCACACCAGGCTGTCAGGTAGTAATACTACTATGTCATGCAGACCCTTAAAAAACCAAGTATATCAATTACAGAACATGCAAGTCTGTAATAAGAGACGATATTTGGCAAATCTGGTTTAATGCAGTTTCAGGGACGAAGAAAGTCTTTTGTTTTATTTATATTTCATTTCATTGAAATAATTACAAACTGTTGCAGGTTTTTCTGTAAAATATGTTCATTTCAGAGATTATATGTAGGTATAGCTGCATAATTTGTCGGTGGTGATATGTTAAACCTGACATGACATACATGATGGGCTTAATGCACGACTTGTAGAGCATGAGGATGAAAATGGTCATGATTTCACACACACACAAAAAAACATAACAAATTTGGAAAAATGTTTAGCGAGGAAGAGACCTGAAGTACCATTTATAATTGCTTCAGACTGACCATCACTGGTCAACTGGCCAACAATCTGTTGACTAATGCGGTTTCTGGGCATCAAAATATGCCTACAGCAGCTTATGCTTGTTGTAAATGTAAGAGGGGACTGAGCAGATTGGATAGTGAAGCTCAGGGACAAGGTCGATTGCATGTCATACAGTGAACTAAAGTTATAACATACTCAAAACGACCACTAACTTTAGTTTGTTATAACCATATTTCATTATACATATTTTGACTAATAATAAATAAAATAAGTGCAAGGACCAAGAATGCAGTTTCTTATCTGCTATTTCATTACAAGCATATTAGCTACAACACAGCTTACTGAAAATGAATTGTGTGGAGTGTTGCTCATGATGTGAATCACCTGATTGTCTGCCTGGATATATCTGGGCTATTGCTGAGTGTGGTGTTTAAAAACAAATAAAACATGAAAAAGACTTGTTTAGGTCTAACCTGATGCATTTCTGTTGCTGATGATCACAAATAGCGACTACTCCTCAGTCACAAAACCACTATAAAGTAGTGTTGGAAATTGGTTGAAATTTCACAATTGATGATTGCTTCATTACCAACGAACAATCATCGAAAAAAATTGGTTAGCGTCATTTTTCAGATTTTCCTATCCAAGTTATTATTGCTGATATGTATAACATGATGCAACTTGCTACTTTAAAGTGATGACTAATATATCATGGGCATAAACTTCCTGGAGTCTTAGAGAAATATTCAGTCATGACTTTTCAGTTAGTGAAGTGAGTTTTCTAAGAATTAAACACGTTTCAGGCCCTGACAACTTCTAAGATATGTTCCATTGTCAAGTGTTGCAAAGACTAAAACAGTAGTTCCAAAATCGGTTAATATCGATTATGAGAAAATGTGATCGATTGCTTGGTCGTTTGGTCACTGCGACCAATCTTCGAGTATTTCAATTAATCGGAACACCACTTCTATAAAGAACAACAATTTAATTGTTTTACACTTCTCGAGGAAAAATAATACCTAGGGGATTATAGTCCTCAAGGAACAATTTACCTATCTATTTGTTACTTTCAAGGAACAACATTTACCTGTTTACATATACTTCTTGTGTAACAACAATTTACATTTACCTGTTTACTTGTACTTCTCGAGGAACAACAATTTATATATAATTATCTATTCCTTTGGGCTTTTCAAGGAACAACATTATACGTGTTTATTGATAATTCTTGTGTAACAGACACGTTAAGGTCCAGGTTAGAATGAACCTTCAGTAACCCATGCTTGTCGTAAGAGGCGACAAACGGGGTCGTGTGGTCAGGCTCTCTGGCTTGGTTGACACATGTCATCGGTACGCAGTTGCGCAGATCGATGCTCATGCTGCTGATCACTGGATTGTCTGGTCCAGACTCGATTATTTACAGACCGCCGCCATATAGCTGGATTATTGCTGAGTGCGGCGTAAAACTAGACTCACTCACTCTTGTGTAACAACAATATATATTTAACTGTTATTTGTACTTTTAGAGGAACAATAATTTACCTGTTTATTTGTACTTCCCGAGGAACTTCAGGTGGAAGGTACGGAAATGCTTCAACACCAGTTCGATCTCTTCAAGGGGAGGTAGGATGGTTATGCGGAAATGGTAGGTTCCGTCTCTCTGTGCAAACCCACTCCCAGGAACAGTACAGATTCCAGTCTCCTCCAAGAGACTGAAACAGTAGAACGCATCCGGCGCCTGGTTGTTTTTCTTTGCTTCTTCAACAGCCTTTGGGGGCAGGAAAATCTGTGGGAAGGCATACATGGCACCTTGAACTTCATTACATGTGATCCCATCAATAGAATTAAAAGTATCGGTCACAAGGCGAGCTTTCTTCTTCAGTAGCAACAGAACTTCCTCCTTTTCTTTAATGAAAAGTTCATAAGATGGCTCCCCTTGTACGGGAGGGTTTGTGACCACATCCATGACGACCTGTCCTGAGACAGGTGGGCACAGTTTGGCAGAGATGCTCTTAAGATACTGCACACGGACAGCTGGGTCAAGGTTGATGACCTCCGCGTATCCCCCTCGGTAGCCACACTCGCCCATGAAGCCTTTCGATGCCGACATGAACGATGACAGCTCCATTTGGTTGTATTCAGGTCCCATTTCCATGAGAACTTTCTTGAAGGAGAAGAACTCGCTGCCTTGTGCATAGATGTTATGCTGATACACCTCGTCAGCCAAAATAAACAGGTTTTCTTGTTTAGCGAATCGGATTACAGCCTGAATGTTCTCTTTGGTCAGCACTTGCCCTGTTGGGTTACCAGGATTAATAATGACAATCGCCCTTGGTTTACAATGAGATTTGGCTTCAGTTATAGCTCTATTCAATTCATCGACTTCCAAACCCCAGTGCTTTTCTTCATCCAGGTAATATTTGATGGGGTAGGCATTGTACTCCGCAATGGCCGCCGAGTACAGAGGGTACTGAGGTACTGGAATCATGATACCAGCTCGCTCATTCCCACCCTTTCCAGTCAGCAACAGTGTCAGGATTGACTTGATTCCATCACTGGCTCCAGTGGACATTATAATGTCATCAGGATTTGAAGGAAAACCATCTCTCTGAGTGATGTAGTTGGCAATATCCTCTCTTATCACAGCCACTCCTGCACTGTCACTGTACGACCCAAGGCTTGCTCCTCGACACCCACCCAAAATACGCCTTGCCCGGTTTTTAGCATCCTCGGGGAAATCCTGACTATTCAGCAGATCCGGGTATGTACACAAGGCAAGCACCTGGCGTATAAACGTTATCGGTTTTTGTCCGGTTGCATGGCAATCGCCAATATTTGCCTTTACCACCTTTTCAAAAGACTTTTTGGCTCCGTTTTTTATTTCTTGATCGATTTCATTGGCCCGTGTTACAATTGGTCCTCGGACTGCATACTCCATAAGTTTGACGTTCGGGTTTAGTGTTTCCACAGTCAAAACCTTGTCTGTGCCTTGAGAGCCCATCTTGTCAGTTTGATATTGCACACAATGCAGAGAAAATGACTTACTACTTGATGCAGTCGGCTGATAATGTGTATTTCCAACAGCTTCAGCCTTAGATGTCTGACTCCAGCAACGCACCGTTATTATATGAACCCGGCTTACACAACCGACACTATTTTAGTCTCGACGCTTTGCTTCCTCCAGTTGTTTCGTCAGCTGAGCAGGGGCGGATAACTCTAAATGATGTAAAGCCACAGTTCACCTTCACGGAAGGTCACTACACAATGTGTGGTCGGCACGTACAAATGTGTGAACGGATTTATCAAGTGCGAGTCCACGTATTTGGCTGAACATTTACACGTATTCACCCCGATCTCTGATCTCATGGGGAAGGATGTGATGGTTTATTGTCATCGTAACACCTGGTATATTGAGGACGCCACGCCCCCCTCGCTGAACCAACACTAGATCAAGGCACACTCGCTGATATATAATATCGACAATAAAACACCTGAAGCGGGAAATATTGGAAAGCTAAACAAAATTACGCGCGGAGTCCGAGAAGAGGATAAACATAATTGCAGGGTTTAATTTTTCATATTTCATCACCATATTTTTGAATAAGTTCCTATTTGCAGGAAGTGTGTTTTATCATATTAACGCCATTTATTCAGATTTTAAATATATTGTAAATTTTGAAGACGACATTCAACTTCTTATCAGTGGTTATTAAATCATAAGATAAAACAAAATATTTTCCTTGAGAAAATTGGAATTAATTTGAAATTAATTAAAACCCATATACGTGTCCTTATATGAACGCATGTCGAAGGAACAATAAGGCATTGTAGACTGAATTGCACAGATGGTTGGAACCAGGTTGATAAAGGGTACATAAATGTATTGAAATAAATCAATGCTATCGCCATCAGGCCAACACGTGAATCTCCTGTTTTGCCTACACGTGCCACGCAGCACGTGTACCGTAGACTTGGACAAACGATAAATATGCAGCATGATGCAATCAATCTCTCTCATGATATTATGTTGTACTGTATGGGGAATTCAGGGATTCGCGCAGTGAAGCTGATTTTGATTTACAGGTGATCCCTTTATGTAATAGGCGCAACACAACCGACATACGTACGTGTGTCGTGATTTTATTCACTTCAGCGTTCATGTTTGCGTATTTGCGGTTAGAACTAGGGTCATCGAGGGCGTTTCAGAATGATCATTGGTGATTTCATAGATATTTACCATTTACGGCATTGGAACCACGATTATCCAATCCGTTAAGGGAAGCAACTGCATGCGATTGTGCATGTAAATGTACCAGACATTGATATTCTTCTATGATGAATTACATGTCAGTGACCGTCCAGTTTATGTCCATGGGATGACTGAACCATTTGCTTGTGTTTATTATTACCTTTGTATATTAATTAATGACAACGATCTGTAACTGATGACAACAATCAACATCATCATCATCAACAACAACAACAACTAAGAACTTATATAGCACAAGAATCCAGTCAGAATAACTGCTCTAAAGCTCTTTGAGAGGATCATGCATGTCACATGTATCAACAATGTCCGCTTCGTCTAGGTGTATGTCTTTGAGAAAAGGTGGGTTTTCATATTGGTTTTTAAAATGGTCGAGTTATTGACAAGTTTCAGTTTCAATGGCAGATCATTCCAGAGTCGTGGAGCTGCTCTCAAAGGATCGTTCTCCATAGGTGGTGGTCCTTGCGTGTGGAACACCGAGCATGCCTTGTCCCATGGATCTAACATACCTCGCGGGCTTGTACTCCTGGAGGAGTTCCTGGAGATACACAGGGGCTATAGCCTGTCCTTGCTTTGAAGGTTTACTTATAAAGTGCTTCTGTCAGCCACTTTCAACCAGTGACGTTTCTTTAGTACTGGAGAAATGTGGCTGTCTTTCTTTTCAGTACATTATTATGACGAAAAAAGAACAACCTAGCACCATGGTCCACATTGTTATAACAGGATCTTGTATAGTCGCTCCGATCCAAGTGAGTGAGTGAGTTTAGTTTTACGCCGCCTTTCGCATTATTCAGCAATGTCAAAGCGGGAGACACCAGAAATGGGCTTCACACATTGTGTCGATGCGGGGAATCGAACCCGTGTCTTCAACGTGACGAGCGAACGCTTTAACCACTGGGCTACCCCGACGCCCCTCCAAGAGCCATATAGCTGAAATATACTTACACTTGAGTACACAATGTTAACACAGTTGATGTGTTTATCGCGTCCATTAGGAGACGACGACTCACTCGAACTAAGTCCTTTCTTTGCCACGATTTCAAAATGTGTGTTGAATCTTCAGGGACACACCGGACAAGAACCTGTGTGAACTTGATCGTGGTCAGATGATACAGAGTGAGTGAGTTAGATTTAACCCACCTTTGACTGTATTCTGTTTATGTTAAGGAGTGTGAGCTTTTGTGTGAGCAAAGACAGAAGTGATGCTCTACTCCGAGCACACAGGTGCAGCCTGCACATGTATTTACCATCTGTGATTTATTATGTCAATATCAACTAAATTGCGAGTCCCTCGTCTCGTCTGTGTCAGAAGGAACACGCTTCCATGGCAACTGGTATAACGCCGTGCCAAATACCGATGTTAATTATATGCTATATTGAGTGACATGTGGTATCACTATCTGTCTGTGATACGATGATATGGAATATTCATTGCGTAAAGGCGATATTTCATTTTAGGCAAAATATTTATTGTTTTAATATTTATATATTTCAGTTGTGTGTATGGATATGTAAGACATTACCCATATCTATTTTAGCCGATAGGCTACTGAGTTGCATAATTGTAAACCCTACTTGAATGCTTACATGCTGCACATACACAGAGGTGGCAGCTTGCGGGGAGAGCGCAAGCGACTAAGGGAAGTTACTCGTGTGGTACTGTCGTGCCAGACAGGCGATCTTGTGTCTTGTTAATATAATGGAACAAGGACTTCAAGAGAAGGTTAAACGTACTTCACTTCGTTTGTTGAATGTATATCGAATGACAAGCCAACAGTGATTATGACTGAAGTACTGTCATAAAGAACGCTGACAAAATTAAAATCAAATTGACAGTATGTGTCAGTGCTTAATCACGTGTGTGTGTGTGTGTGTGTGTGTGTGTGTGTGTGTGTGTGTGTGTTGTTTAACGACTCATTATCACATATATCTGTACGTATGATATATAGGGAGACGCTCATATATCAAAGCTGTTACTCATATGGTGGGTATTCACTTGGGTGGGTAGTGTGTAGTTTGACCTTTGTCACCACAGAGGAAAACCGTTTTGACCTTTCTCACAACAGAGTAACTGTTTTTGCCTTGTCACCACAGTGTATAATTGTTTTAACCTTTCCCACGAGAGTGTATAACTATTTTGACTATTCTCGCCACCTTGTATAACTGTTTTGTCCTTTGTCAATACAATGTATAACTGTTCTGGCCTTTGTCAATACAATGTATAACTGTTTTGTCCTTTGTCAATACAATGTATAACTGTTCTGTCCTTTGTCAATACAATGTATAACTGTTTTGGCCTCTGTTACTTCAGTGTATAAATGTTTTGCTCTTTGTCAGTATAGTGTAAAACTGCTTTGGCCTTTGTCACTACAATGTATAAATTCTATATCCTTCCACACTACAGAGTAAAGTGTTTGACCTTTGTCACCACAGAGTAAAACTGTTTTGACCGTTTTCACCACAGAGTATAACTCTTTTGTCCTTTGTCATCACAGAGCATATAACTGTCTTGTTCCTTTTCTTTGAATTCTTTTGCATTTTTTAAAAAAACCCGGAAACTTCTTACTTACCGAAAATTGATAAGGGCTAAATCGCATGTGAATGGAGCTTAAATTTCGCATAGTCTAAGACTTATAAACATGAACAACAAAAAGTTGTAAAGCATTTATCTGACTTTATGCAACAAACATATATTGAAGAGTTCATGTGTTATCCTCAGAGAAGACTACTACGGAAATCTTATCAAAAGTCAGGCCTGTCACGGTCTTGTAAGCGCCAACTATAATCTAGTTTAAGCTATAGCAGATGACTCAAGTACGTAACGCGTTGAGTGTACATACCAAGGGTTTTGTATGGAAACTCGATATTCTCTTCAAAACCGTAACATATTTAGGAAGTTTTGCCGTCTTGAAATTCAAGAGATAAATGTCACAACAAAACACTTTCCATGATCATAAGACATGTCTGCTTAATGCAGAAAGTGTACATTGATTTGTACCACTCCTACTGTGTAAGGGGCATGTGTTTATGAAACTCTACATAATACTGATCCTACCAGGTGAACCACTTGCTACTAGAACAGCCAGGTGTGCGAGTTGTACGCGTGAAATGGAAATTGCACTGCGCACCCTTGTTGATTACCTGGCTGTTCTACCAGCAATTGGTCCTCCTTCGTAAGAAATAGCGAAAAGTAACAACAAAATAATGATCGTTTGTTAAACAGCTTTTTTATTCGGGTGTCAAATTCAGTGAGCAATTCATCGGTCCAAAATGAAGTCAAACGGACTATAAGTGTATATTTAAGTTGAAATGGTTATAATGAACTATGGTTATAATACACTATTATATCCGTATTTCGTTGTATGACATGCAATCAAACTAATCCCCAAAGTTGACCATCCAATCACCTTTTGCAACTAGCATATAGGCTGCTGTTGACCAATATCGATGCCTGTAATCTGTACAGGCAACAGATGGTGGATCACTTTTAGCTGTTTCTTACGAGGGGGACCACTTGCTGGTAGAAGAGCCAGGTGTGCGAGTTGTTCGTGTGAAATTGAAATTTCACATCACGCTTGTTGATTACCTGGCTGTTCTACCTGCAAGTGGCCCCCCATCGTAAGAAATAGCAAAAAGTGACAATACAACAATGATCGTTGTTATACATAGTTTTCAATCGGGTGTCCAAATTTACGAGAAAAATTATCAGAGTTGGTCTGTCGATTTCATGTGACTGTGCAAATGTGGTTTTGTTGCAATTATTAGACTTTGTGTTAGTGAGCAATTCATCGGTCTCAAATGAAGTCAAACGGACTATGATTGACTGTATCGAAATAAACTGTTGCTTATTGCTGCTGCCTCTTATATAAGCAACTGTATTGCCTTTTGTGATTGCAAACCTAAAACCTTGTATTCTGATATGGTTTTCACATTATTCAGCCATCTTCTGCGAACATCAGTAATAACGTCACAAAGACATCGCTATATTATGTGTTAAAATATTTGCATAATAGAAGCTTGTATTAGCAGTTTTATTTTATTTTATTATTAAGTAATATTATATGAGGCATGTAAATGCCATTTTTGTAGTACGCCTGGTTAGTTTTAATTGCTGAGCTACGCATGAATACATAGATATAAACCCTCACCATAATGTATTGCATCATTAATATCTGTTATGCAAATCTCAATGTTGTTTAGTAGGATATTTAGTCGTCAGGACATGTTCGTTGCATGACAATGAGCTGTAGGGCTGCGCAATATAACCGGTTTACCGGTATTTACCGGTTCAGACATGAAAACGATACGTATTGCGATACGCTGATCGAAAACCGGTATTTTGACTTGCATTCGGAAACCTTCGTAACACTCGGAAATCTTCGGATATTTCCTTTTTTCATTTTGGCCAATATTATTTACATTTTTATTTTTAATCATGAATAAAAGTTGTTATTAAAGCTTGATCAAGCATAGCGATTTTGCTGTGTATTTGCTCTATGAATCAAGCATTACCTCAATTATAAGTAGTTTTTTGTTTAAAAATACTTCATGCAATATATTGCAATACATATCGCAATACATGCTTTCGCATCGCAATATATCGCAATATGAAAATTCTCTGCAATATCCACCCCTAATGAGCTGTGTTTAAGTCTGACTTCAGTCTGCAGAAGTGTTGTGTTTTCTTAAATATTAGTATCTTAATAACCACACGTCTCTTTTATATTATTCTAAATGCTCTGAAAAATAGATATTCTTTGTTAGTTACACGGATGGTGGTAAGTTAGCATTTTCATTTTTGTTATTGTCTTTATAATATTTAATCATACAACTTTTGAGATGTAACAGAACATGTTCATTCTACAAATAAAACAGTATTCCATATCAAGGTTGAAACATTCAATACATTAGTAAAGCATTCAGAAAGGTCTTAATGTAGTGTCTTCTCAAATGTAGCACATTGACAAAGCTAGGTCCGATGCAATTCCCCACTTTGAGTGGCTCCATATATTTTAGGTGAATATTGACTTGCCTGTGCATGTGTTTGTGACGGATGCAACTGGAGGGGCAGGATACTCATCGTTTGCCAAACACCTGGTAAGATCAGTATTTGGTAGAGTTTCATAAACACATGCTCCTTATACAATAGGAGTCGTACAAATCATTGTACACTTTCTGCATTAAGCAGTCATTTCTTATGATCATGGAAAAGGTATGTTGTGACATTTATCTCTAGAACCTCTAGAGGAAAAAACTACCTGAATATGTCAAGATTTTGAAAAAGAATATCTTGTCTTCATACAGAATCACTGGCATGCACATTGAGCAAGTTACGTACTTGAGTCATCTGCTATATCTTAAAAACAGCTAGATTATAATCGGCGCTTACAAGACAACACGTCTGGCATTTGTTAAGATTTGCGTAGTGGTCTTATCTGTAGGATAACACATGCATTGTTCAATACGTTTTGTTTCCGGAAACTGCATAAATCAGATAGTGGCTTTTTCTGTTCATATTTTAAAGTCTTAGAATACTTAGATTATGCGAAATTTAGGCTTCATTCACATGCGATTGAGTCCTTGTCAATTTTCGGTAAGTTAGAAGTTTGAGTTTTTCCGGGGTTTTTAAGAATTGCAAAATAATTCAAGGGAAAGGAACAAGACATTTATATGCTGTGGTGACAAAGGTCAAATCAATTATACACTGCAGTGACAAAGGTCAACATAGTTATACAATGTGGTGACAAAGGTCAAAACATTTTTACACTGTGGTGACAAAGGTCAAAACAGTTATACACTGTGGTGACAAAGGTCAAAACAGTTTTACACTGTGGTGACAAAGGTCAAATCATTTTTACACTGTGGTGACAAAGGTCAAAACAGTTATACACTGTGGTGACAAAGGTCAAAACAGTTATACACTGTGGTGACAAAGGTCAAAACAGTGACCCTGAGGTAATCTAGACTTGCTTCATATAGGGCTTTGGCATTGCAGAAAGGGATGGCGGAAGGGAATGTGGTTCAGGATGGTGGTATGTTAGAACAGGCTATCCACCCGATTTCGGGTGATTTATGACAACAGCTTCCAGCTGTCCATCGTCATCCCCTATAAAGGCTAGTCAACTGTTGACTTCCCTCATTTAGCCTCTGTTGTCTAATTACTTTTGCAGTTCTTATGATCTATTTGCAGATATGCAAGGCATATCATGCAAGGCGTATGCATTTGTAAATTCCGTGTATATATCCTCAACATTTTCACTTTCTGAGTGCTTCGAATCCAGGTCCTCTAACACAAAGCTTGCACTACGCTTGATATCACTGGAAATGCTGGGGTGGGGTGGTGGGGTAGCCAGGTGGTTGAAGCGTTCACTTGACACGCCGAAGACTTCGGTTCGAATCTCCACATGGTTACAATGAGAAAAGCCCCTTTCTGTTGTCCCTGTGCTGGTATTGCTGGGTTAAACCTGACTGATTTTAACTGAGCTTCTCTTAAAAACGAATCTGTTCTGCAGCTGAAGCCAAGAACACGTTTTGTTTGCTGTGTTCCAGAAATATCTGCTTGTTGTCATCGTTCATATATAGGGGTGGGTATTGCAGAGAATTTTCATATTGCGATATATTGCGATGCGAAAGCATATATTGCGATATGTATTGCAATATATTGCAAGAAGGGTTTTAAAACAAAAACTACTTATTATCGAATTAATGCTTGATTTATAAAGCAAAAACAGAACAAAATCGCTATGCTTGACTAGGCTTTGATAAAAACTTTTAATGATGACAAAGTATAAATGTAAATAATGTTTGGCACAAATGAAACAAGGAAAGGAACGATTTAAAAACGGAAATATCCGTAGATTTCCTGGTGTTACGAAGTTTTCCGATTGCATGTAAAAATACCGGTTTTCGATCAGCATATCGCAATACGTATCGTGTTCATGTCTGAACCGGTAAATACCGGTAAATACCGGTAAACCGGGTATATTGCGCAGCCCTATTCATAGACTAGCCAAAAGTGAGAGAAATTAAGATCTGATACAATCAGGTTTTGACATTAGCTCTAACGTCTGCAAGACTGGGCAATAGCGAAGGGCTATAACTGAATTGGAAATATGTATGAGAATGTTCTATGTTTTGTTCATTAATTAATCCTACAATATATTACGGCCCTCACTCACATTCAAAGACATAGCTCGTTCGTTTGTTCAAGTTAGCAGAACAACGGGAGGGGAAGGGGCGTGACGTGGCGTCCTCAATATACCAGGTGTTACGATGACAATAAACCGTCACATCCTTCCCCATGAGATCAGAGATCGGGGTAAATACGTATAAATGTTCAGCCGAATACGTGGACTCGCACTTGATAAATCCGCTCACACATTTGTACGTGCCGACCACACATTGTGTAGTGACCTTCCGTGAAGGTGAACTGTAGCTTTACATTATTTAGAGTTATCCGCCCTTGCTCAGCTGACGAAACAACTGGAAGCAAAGCGTCGAGACTAAAATAGTGTCGGTTGTGTAAGCCAAGTTCATATAATAACTTGCGTTGCTGGAGTCAGACATCTAAGGCTGAAGCTGTTGGAAATACACATTATCAGCAGACTGCATCAAGTAGTAAGTCATTTTCTCTCAATATCAAATTGACAAGATGGGCTCTCAAGGCACAGACAAGGTTTTGACAGTGGAAACACTTAACCCGAACGTCAAACTTATGGAGTATGCAGTCCGAGGACCTATTGTAACACGGGCCAATGAAATCGATCAGGAAATAAAAAAAGGAGCCAAAAAGTCTTTAAGAAAGGTGGCAATGGCAAATATTGGCGATTGCCATGCAACCGGACAAAAACCGATAACGTTTATACGCCAGGTGCTTGCCTTGTGTACATACCCGGATCTGCTGAATAGTCAGGATTTCCCCGAGGATGCTAAAAACCGGGCAAGGCGTATTTTGGCTGGGTGTCGAGGAGCAAGCCTTGGGTCGTACAGTGACAGTGCAGGAGTGGCTGTGATTAGACAAGATATTGCCAACTACATCACTCAGAGAGATGGTTTTCCGTCAAATCCTGATGACATTATAATGTCCACTGGAGCCAGTGATGGAATCAAGTCAATCCTGACACTGTTGCTAACAGGAAAGGGTGGGGATGAGCGAGCTGGTATCATGATTCCAGTACCTCAGTACCCTCTCTACTCGGCGGCCATTGCGGAGTACAATGCCTACCCCATCAAATATTACCTGGATGAAAAAAAGCACTGGGGTTTGGAAGTTGATGAATTGAATAGAGCTATAACTGAAGCCAAATCTCATTGTAAACCACGGGCGATTGTCATTATTAATCCTGAAAACCCAACAGGACAAGTACTGACCAAAGAAAACATTCAGGCTGTAATCTGATTCGCTAAACAAGAAAACCTGTTTATTTTGGCTGATGAGGTGTATCAAAATAACATCTGTGCACAAGGCAGCGAGTTCTTCTCCTTCAAGAAAGCCCTCATGGAAATGGGACCTGAATACAACCAAATGGAGCTGTCATCGTTCATGTCGGCATAGAAAGGTTTCATGGGCGAGTGTGGCTACCGAGGGGGATACGCGGAGATCATCAACCTTGACCCGGAGGTCCGTGTGCAGTATCTTAAGAGCATCTCTTGTCTCAGGACAAGTCGTCATGGATGTGTTCACAAACCCTCCCGTGCAAGGAGAACCATCTTATGAACTTTTCATTAAAGAAAAAGAGGAAGTTCTGTCGCTATTGAAGAAAAAAGCTCGCCTTGTGACCGATACTTTTAATTCTATTGATGGGATCACATGTAATGAAGTTCAAGGCGCCATGTATGCCTTCCCACAGATTTTCCTGCCCCCGAAAGCTGTTGAAGAAGCTAACAAAAACAGCCAGGCACCAGATTTGTTCTACTGTTTCAGGCTTTTGGAGGAGACTGGATTATGTACCATTCCTGGGAGTCGATTTGGACAGAAAGACGGAACCTACCACTTCCGCACTACTTTCCTACCTCCCCTGGAAGAGATTAAGCAGGTGTTGCAGCATTTCCGCACCTTCCACCTGAAGCTCCTCGAGAAGTATAAGTAAAGAGGTAAACTGTTGTTCTTTACCGTGGTTTGTGACTGAAGACTAACACTGAATCCCTGAAATGAACGCATTTTACACAAACAAACCACAACCGTTCTTAAATTATCTAAATGAAACAAAATCTATGTATAAACAGATAGACTTTCTTCATCCCTGAAACTGCATTAATCTAGTTTTGCCAAATATCATCCCTGTTTAAGGACTTGCATGAGCTGTAGTTGATGTTCTTGTTTAGGGGTGTATATGATAGGCTATCGGACAGCCAGATGTGACAATGATTTACATATAATGATTAAAAACATTTTATGTGTAAAATCTATTGAACATCGCTGCAGTATGGAATGAAGAATAAACAAGACATTCAAAAGTCTGTTAATTGAAAGTATCTATTCTGACATCTGTGAACATCAGTAATAACGCCATAAAGTCATCTTCATACTGTCTGTTAACAGTTTTGCATAATGCAAGTTTGATCGTATCAAGTTGTGACCTGTGCACGTGCAAGAGGGGCGGGGCATTTAACCTTTGCCAAACAACTGGTACGATCAGTATTTGGTAACCACGCGCTCCTCGTCGAGTAGGAATCGTATAGAAAACACTATAGAAAAGGTATTCTGGTATCATGTACCGACAGAATTTCTGGAGGACAATGATACATGACATCTTGAGTGAGTGTGTGAGTTTAGTTTCACGCCGCACTCAGCAACATTCCAGCTATATGGAGGCGCTATGTAAATAATCGAGTCTGGACCAGACAATCCAGTGATCAACATCATGAGCGTCGATCTTCGCAATTGGGAAGCGATGACAAGTGTCAACCAAGTCAGCGAGCCTGACCACCCGATCCCGTTAGTAGCCTCTTACGACAAGCATGGGTTACTGAAGATAATATTCTAACCCGGACCTTCACAGGTTGATGACATCTTGACTTTTAGCAAGGTCTCGCCGAAAAATTCCAAAATATATTTTACGGATTTATCGAAGAAATAAGACTGTTTCAGAGAATGTTTGGAGAAGGTGGACCAAATTGTGCATCAGAAACGAAATTGTCTGTCATAAAAAATACATTGTTGCACCATTTTTACAAAAAAGGGAGCGCACAAATTTGTGGTAATACTGTAGTGATGCATGTCTTGGGTGGTGCTCACAAACCTGGACATTAAGCTAGACTAACTTGAATTCAATGCACTGAGAAAGAAAATATGTTGAGGAAATTTACAAATTGTAAATGCATAAATTCTCAATGACATGTCTTGGAAATCTGTAAATACATAATATTTTATGTGGATGTAAATTGTGAAGCCTTGCCTTCCTTAGCTTTAACACCGCAATGAGTGAATGTAAAATGTTTGCCAACACACACACACACACACACACACACACACACACACACACACACACACACACACACACACACACACACACACACACACACACACACACACACACACACACACACACACCAAAACAAGCAAAAGATGTATAAAATCAAAATCAAATGGAATACAAAGAAATGTCAAAAGACTAGAACATAGTGTTTGTAGTATCAAGAATGAGAATCTACTCCACCCTAACATAAAGCAGAAATAGTGTGTTCTGGGTCTGTTCTACTCTGAGCACACAGATGCTGGCAGTGGGTATTTACAATCTGTGATTTATTATGGTGATACAACTATACTCTTCCAAAAAAGAAACGCACATGAGATAATAATGTATGGCATTTCAAAAATTATTTTCAAAATTAGTGTGTGATTGCTATAATTTCACCATTATAATGCTGGTCTGTGTACATGGAACAAATGCACAATTCTAAAGCGCATATTCGCATATTCGGAAACATTAATGCACGTTTTCGTTCGAAAGTGTCAACTTGAATGAAAAAGTCGTGGAGAAAAAAGTGGTTGGCAATATGTTCATGCAGTTCTTATGAATCATGACCAGGGACTTCGCCTATATAAGGCCATATTGCTTTCAAACGGTCATTGACATTTTTTAGCTAATTCAAATAAAAGAATATCATTATACCGTTATTCTTAGCTGTAAATCCAAGCATTGTAATTGAACATCTGGATGCTAGGGAGTCTCATTTTGCGGTTGCACCTCACCTCAGTTTTCACCAGAGTACCATCAGTCATTTATGAAACCGATATCAACAATCGTTTAACGAGAAGCTGGACTTCGACCCAGAAGATCCTATTTTGGCCCTGCGCTGCTACGAATACACGTGTATCCCTGTCTGCTTGTGTGATACGATGATATGAAATATTCACTGTGGAAAGACGATATTTCGAAATCGACATAATGTTTATGGTTTGAATATTTATTCATTTCTGCTGTATGTGGATGTGATATATTATCCATATCTAGTTTAGCCTATATTTGCTCTGATCTGCATGAATGTAAACGTTAATGCTAGGGTTACACTATGTTCCCGGCGGCCACGGCAGCCCCGTTTCGCCGAAACGTCGTGAAACGAGGACAAAACGGGATGGACGTGAGACAACGTAGGGGGACTGAATGAGCAAACGTGACAGTCCGTGATTGCCGTGCATGCCGTGCCAGATTTTTTAAACTGTTCAAAAATTTGCCACGGCAGTCACAGTACTAATGAGAAACCTAGTAGGCCGTAGTAACACAATACTTGTAGACGGTCCGTACTTGGACGGGAGGTATATGCATTCTCCGGCATCTCACGGTCCTTTCAAGTTTTGTCACATTCGGCCACGTTTGTTTGGTGTTTTGTCACGATGGTTTCACCCTTTCTCCCCGTTTTGTCCCGATTCTCACGGCAAGCTAGGTTGTATGGTAGCCGATTCGTCCCGTTCTATCACGACGCATCCAGGCTTGTAACGGTTTACAGGGCCGGCGAGATACGGCACGTTGCGTTCTCTGGCATTCCCCCTCTGCAGCTGATGCTATCCTTCTTGCTGACGCCACTATTGATGTATCTCCCCAGCAGACATGCAAACACAAAATCTTCTTCATCTTGGGGATTCATGCTGCTCTTGTGTCTCAGGACACAATGGCTGCTATTGCTAGGGTGGCCTTATTTTTATACCGTGGACACAAACGTGCTCCAAAGCTGGCCGGTGTCCACCTTTCATCCGTAGAAAGTCTTTTCAGAACGCGCAAAACGTGTCAAAACCTTGATCAAAACGTGAGGGAACCCATCAGGACGCGACAGGCAGGGAGGAAACGTAATGGCATCCGTAGTGGACTGCGGGCCGAGCCGTAGTGCGCCTTTGAGCTTCCGGGACTCAGCAGCCCGTTTATCCCAACGGCCCACCACGGATACCGTGATAGACCGTGAAAAAACGTAGCAGGACTTATCCAAACTTGACTTTGGAGGGAACAACTGGCCAAAATCCCACGGCGCACTACGTTTCGGGGAAACGGGCCTGCCGTGGCCGTCGGGAACATAGTGTAACCCTAGCATAACTTGAATGTATACTCGATAAAAGAGCACAGACACAACAAAGATGGCAGGCTTAGCAAAGAGCGCAAGCGACTAAGGGAGGTTACTCGTGTAGTACTGTCATGTCAGACTGACGCCTGTGTGTCATTGTGTGAGAGTCAGGATGCAACGGAGATATTTAGGACAATACACCACTTCTACAGACTGGGTCAGGCTTTAACGTAGCTCACTATCATGTCTCCCGACTAAATTAGTACCGTTAAATACCATTTATGTTCACATAGCAGATATTTATGATACAATACCTTATGGTGACGCGTGATCTGTATATATTCATGCACAACCCGGTAAGGATAACTAACACCACAAACTACACGGTCATTCTACAAAAAAACCGGCACATTTACATGCCTCATATAATAATGCTTGGCAGCGGCACGTGCATGATATTAATGGCGGAGGTGGGTTAGCCTAATGGTTAAAGAGTTCGCTTGTGACGCCAAAGACCATGGTTCGACCCCCACATGGGTGCACTGATGAAGCCCATGTCTAGTGTCCATGATATCATGATATTGCTGGAATATTGCTAAAAGCGGCGTAAAACCAAACTCACTCACTTACACAAGATGAATGAATAATTCGCAAGTTCATAAAATACATGGTTTTAGGCAATCTCAAAAGTCACATAAATGGCAACAGCAGAGTGCAACTATATTCAGTGCAAACACAGTCCACAATGTGACACTGTCTGCCTCTGTTCTGTACTCTGGAAGCTGACAAGGTAGACATGTATCTCATCCCTACTTGGTATGTACTTGAAACACAGGCTGTGAAGGGCCCTAAACGCCTCGAACGGTCAAGTCTTTCATGTTTGGCAATATCAACAAAGGGCGGTAACTCCGTTACATGCTGCGGATGTCAGTCAAAATATAGCGACGAAAGACTGAGATATTTTACAGCGCTTCAGTCATCTGCTGCCGGTGATCACAGATACCAATGCCTGACCACCCGATCCCGTTAGTTAGTAGTAGTGACCAGTAGTAGCCGATCCCAGTATGTTAGTAGTAGTAGTAGTAGTAGTAGCAGCAGTAGTAGTAGTAGTAGTAGTAGTAGTAGTAGCAGTAGTAGTAGTAGTAGTAGTAGTAGAAGTAGCAGCAGCAGCAGTAGTAGTAGCAGTAGTAGTATTAGTTGTTGTAGCAGCAGCAGCAGCAGTAGTAGTAGCAGTAGTAGTAGTAGTAGCAGCAGTAGTAGTAGTAGTAGCAGCAGTAGTAGTAGTAGTAGCAGCAGCAGTAGTAGCAGCAGCAGTAGTAGTAGCAGCAGTAGTAGCAGCAGTAGTAGTAGTAGTAGTAGTAATAGCAGAGGTAGCAACAGAGCCAACTGCATCTGATGTGTGTTGAGTGTGTGAGGTTGTGTGTATGTGTGTGTGTGCGTGTAGGAGTGCCTGTGTGTTTGTGTGTTCTGATACCATAGGTCTCCATTATTCTTTTTAGTGCTATCAGTGTTAGCTTAATTTCAAATTAATCCGAACTACATGTATAGGCTTATTCAATACCTGTCTGGGCTACCTATAAGATTGTTAACCTGA